CTAGTTAGATTAGCTCATGTTGCAGCTGGACCAATACCACCATCAGAGAATTATGAATTTCTGCAATAGAAAGTATTAAACTTGATAATGGAATTGCTGTAAGAATAGGAATTGATGCGGCATTAGCTGCTGTAAAGTTTCATTTTGAATTAATAAAGAAACAATATCTTGTAAAAATTTTTCTCAATGTGCTAAATGTCTTAGATTATTATCTGAAAATCAAGATAAAATTAATAAGCTTTACTTTTTTACTTTTATTATTTTTTTTTCTTTTTTTCAGCTTTACTAATTTTTTATATATTTCAATTAAAAGAAAATAGGTTTCAAAAATGTCTACCAGTAATATTTAAAGCTTTAATTACATTCTTTATTCATTATTGTCTTGATAATCATAGAATGTTTGATAATATTACTTCATATTCTTCACCAACTACACCTATATTAAAATCAATAGTATTAGATCCTAAGAATCAGAAATTTGTATATAAAATTGGGAGACAATTTTTGATGTTACCAGCTGGTAACCCATTTTATAAATATATTATTAGAAATGCTATTCATATATTAGATGTTTGGATTCTAAGTGGGGTTAGCTTATTTTATTGTGATTTAAATCAAAATACTATTTTCAACCTTCCTTTTATTTATCAAATATTTTTTAATCTATAGGAAGAAGAAAGACCAGCGTACTTATGTAAGTCCCTTCAAAATTTATCCTTACTAATTAGTCAAAATGATGCATCAATAACACAAGCTTTAATACCATTATCAGCTTCATCATTTACAAGTATATATTTAGATGCAAATGTATATTTTAGAAGATATATCGAATTATTAAATTTGGTATTTAAGGATCATTTATTCTTAACGATTACTAGAGGAATAATAAATATTGAAGTAAAAGTACAAATTTTTATTTATCAAGATGTTTTAACTTTGTATCATTTGATTATGACTAAAGGCTTAATTGAATTAGAGTTAGAAACTTGGTATTTATATAATCATGTAAATTTTTTTACCATTTTGTTTAAAATTTTTAAAGTTCTATTTATTTACCTACTTTTAGGAGAATAATACTTATATCACTTTTGAACATTCAGAAAAGGATTATGAATCAAACTGTTATGTATGTTCTGATTTCTTTTGTAGCTTTAACTGATAATTTCACTGATTACTTAATCAAAGTAAGTGAAGAATTTTAATTATTACTATGAAACAGTATGAGTTTTTTGTTACTTATTTTTCTAGTTTATAGTAAGTTAATTATTATACACAATGAGATAATCCATTCTCTTACATAATGTGTAATTATAAATCTATATCATGATTACCTAATTATCTCACTTTATGTAGAATATAAATTTTATCTTCTATCTTTTATCATTATTTAAATAATATTATATGTGTTTTCTCAATCAAAAATTTCAGTTCCTGAATTATAGGGTAAATTGAAAATTCAAATGAGTTTTAGTACAAGGTGATCTCAAACTATAACACAATAGACTATAAGTTATAATTTAGAAATTAGATCTTTTTTCTTTTTAAATGTTTATTAATTTTATTTTTACAAATTTTTCAGAAAATAATATTGCATTTGTCAAAGATTTTATCAAAATATGTATATTAAGTTGATTTTGATCAAGTAAAATTACAGAAACGTTTCTCAGTAATGCTATTATCAGAACATAATCATTATCACCACAAACCTTTCAAAATCGTATAAAACATCTTTCTTTAAAATATAAATCTTTAGGTAACACTTCTTCACATGAAGATTTTGATTTTTTACTATCAGGACTATCTAAAAATGAAAGTAGTATATTTGAAAGATGAAGTTTGAGTATGTATTTAGATAATTAGATACTTAATTGTTAGGTATTAGTGAACCATATTGTAAGCAATAGCAATAGATTCATATACTCTAATCAGATGAAAATAATGATAATAATGATGATGATGATCATTTTTTTGATGCCTATAGTGACCTTTATAATAAATATGTCAAAGTAATATTAATAATATATATATATATACTTCTTAAAATAAAAAAAGGTTTATTATTCATATTCATAAAATCATATAGTCAAATTAAACATCCATTTTATTAATATTTTTTATTCAGCCAAATTTTAGTAATAAAAAACTATTAATGTTCTTAGCTAATTTCAGAAGTCTAAATTTCATTAATCTCAATATTTTACCTTAACTTCTGAAATTTCATTATTAGTATAAAGAAATATACTTTATACTTTGGATAATTTAAATCATATTTAGATTATTCTTCATTATACTGAAGCTATTAAATATCTAGTGGATATGTCAGATATATTTGAAATAGATTTTTTTAAAAATAAAATTTTTTTTAGTGCTTATTTATCATCTTCGTTGATATTATCATAAATCTGCTTAAGGCTATGTTATAAGTTATTTTTTTTGGTAATATTTTTATAACATTCTTACATGTTCATTCATTAATGACTTTTTCAAAAAATCTATTACGTTTACAAAACTACTATATGATAAATTGACAGTCATATAACCTAGATTATAGTATTACATAATACTTATTTTACCTTATGTGACTGTAGTAGTAAATAATAACACATTAGCTATTGATTTATTTTTAGAAATTAGTAATCATAACAATTAATAATAATACGTCTCAATAATTTATTTTTAAAAATTCAATTGTAATAATAAAAAATAATACGTCTTTCAATAATTTATTTTTAGAAATTCAGTCATAGTAAAGAAGAATAATACATTTCAATAAAAATTAATAATGTATCTTTAGAATAGTTAGTATAATATAAACATAAAAATTACACATTACATGTCTTTAATTTTATTATAAATATTCTCCATTTCACCTTACAAAAATTTCAACTTTTTTTTCTTTACCATTCTTGATTTATTATAAATACTCTTCACCTTATCTTACAAAATTTTAACCTTTTTCTTTATCCTTCCTTTATATATTTTATTATTTTCAAGTGTAATTTTATCTTTTTTTTCTTTACCCTTCTTGATTTTATTATTAATATTTTTCACCTTATCTCACAAAAATTTGTACTTTTTTCTTTACCTTCTCTTATATATTTTATTATTCTGAGTATATTTTTTATTGATTATTTTTTATTTTTAGTTTAAAATTTTTAATTTTTTACAAAAAATCGAAAGAAATTTTTACAAAAAAAAATCTAAAAGAAAAACTAATAAAAAGTAAATACTTTTGTATCTTATGTAGTAATCTTTTTTTTATTTTGATAGAGCGAGTTTTTATGTATATGTATAGAATGCTATATGTTATTTTCTTCTCTTAAAGAGATAAAAACTTTCTTCTCTTCTAGAGATAAAAATATTTTCTTTTCTTGCGAGAGAAAAACCTATATTTAACCATTTCTGATCCTAATATAATCATCTGCATCAGCTTTTAACAGTATTGATCTTTTGGTATTTATCTAAGGAACCTATTTTTTTTAACAGGAACATTTAAAAAATGTATAAATTTTGTCTTGTAAAATTAACTTGATTATTTTTTTTATTTTTAGTTTATTAGGAACGAGATTAAAATCAATAAAAACTATTATTTATTATTTTTAGTTTATTACATTTATTAATGTAAAAGAAATTTTCTTTAAAATTAGTAATGAAAATAAATGAATTTAAAATTTTATTTCAAAATAATAAATTATATGTAATGTATTGAGATGGTAATTTTTTAAAATTACAATTTTTATTTTAATGATAAATAACAAAATAAATATTTGGGATACTCATATAAAGATTTAAAAAAATAATCCTTTAATTGATTTAATCGTCTTATTTTTTTTTATAACATATATATTATAAAATAATAACAAAAAGTATTTCTATATTATTATATAAGAAGAATATTTTTTTAATTATATTATTAAAATAATTTTTAAATTAATTATAAATTTTAATAATTTAATAATAATTATATAATAATATATCAACTTTATAATAAAAAAATTTATTAAAAAAAATATGTAATTGATAATTAAAAATATAAATATTTTTTTATATTTAATGATATAATTTCTTTATAAATTAAAAATTTTATAAAAATTTATATTAATCAAATCTTCATAACTTTTATAAATAAAAGTAATAATTTCTTGTTAAACTAATTTTTATTATTTAACTATTTTAACTAATTTTAAAGTTTAAATTTAATTAAATTTTATCAATTTTATTATAAATTTTATTATATAACTTGATTTTTACATAAATTTAGATATTTCAGATAATATCATATATAATCAATCTTACTAAATACAGTATATCACCTTAGAATTATAGTAAAAATTTTAAAAAAATATGTATTTAAAAAGGATGTGTATTTAAAGAGAAAATTTCTATATGCTTAAGATTGAACAAGAGCATGCATTTAAAGAGAAAATATATAGTATGTGTATTTAAAAAGAATGCATTTAGAGAGGGTTAACTGTAATTATATTAAGAATTTTAATAATTCTATTATTATTAATTTAATTAATAATTAAAATACTATTAATACTATTTATTTTTATATATTATATTACATAAGTTTATATTTAAAGAATTTATAAGAATTAATTATATAAAATTAAAAGAGATAAATGAATAATTTAAATATTAATCAATTGTTTAATGATAATTCAGATTATTAATCATAGATTTAGTACATAATAGTAATAAAATCATTAAAAATTATAACAATTTACTTAAAAAAAAATTCATATTAAATTTTTTAAATTATAATTACAGATTAAAAAAACTGATAATAAAAAATTCAATTTTCAAAAATTTTTAATTTAATTAAATAACAGGTCATTTCCCTTTTTTGATGATTATGAGATAGATTTAATAGTAAAATCACCACATGATTAGGTTTTTGATCGACATAAATTAGTCAATTTCCTCCTATAAATAGAATTCTTACAGTCTGAATGACAAAAGATAAAATATATTGGAAAATATTTTACTCCCCACCATATTCGAATATATAATATCTCGACTTCAATAGACAACAGAATAAACCTTAATAAAGATAATATTTGCTAAAACTGCAAAAAGACAAACAACTGAACTCCAAATACCAATACTATTTTAACTAAAAAGAAGTTTCTCTCAAACCTACACCAGTTTTTACTCAAAACGTTTCCAACACTACTCGACCACAGTTCGTTATAAATATCAGTATAATTTGGATATAATGATATTTTTCATATAAATTCAGACACAACGTTATATAGGAGGCTTGCTATTAAAATTAAGTTACGAACATAGTAATCCCATATCAAGAATATTTTTTCTGAACAAATCCTTTATACAAAATATTTTGAATTATTCCATACGAAAAATGGTCTTTCCAGCATTACATAATCTAATTGTAAGTCACAAGAAATACCAGAATATAGCCCAAAACATAGAAAAAAGTAAAGTAAGTATAATTAGTTGAGAGACGGAGCTTTAGCCAGGATCTTGATGCCCTGTTTGCGTGCGTAATGAGGGTAGGGTTTATACTTCACAAGTACTTATCAGATACGTTTGCCGATGTATACGCTAGTGAACTTGATGGATCTATCAATGTTTTCTTTGATGAAGATTCTACTGATTCTGGAAGAATCAGTTGTCTTCATTTATAACATATAAAGAGAGAGACTGTTGATATATTCCTGCAATATTAATTTTGTTTCTGAAAACGTTCCTAACTTATAATTTTTTTTAATTCACAAATAAGAATACGGTATTTGGCAAGGCTCAGCTACCTCAAATTAATACTAATGCAATCTCCCTTATGGTACCTCAGCAAGTGACCTTCACGTTATCGTACTCACCACTAAGGCAAAATCAGTGTACATTTCTCTCTCTAATAACTACAAGCCTAGACTATTCGCTATCCTTTATTTCGAATTAGCTGACATAATAAAAAACGCTATTAAGTCTGGCAGAGATTCAAAGTTAGAAAAAATAAAAGTAAATAAAATATGGGAGAATAGAATCAAACGTCTACGTCATTAACCTCATTTATTTCATCCACTGCTGACCTCATCAAAAAAAAGAAAAGCTATGTAAATATCAGGTAATAATAAGATCAAGTTTTGAATTGCCTTGCATCAAATGTATTGAACCTTTGCTCATTTATTCAATTACACAATTTCATTTTTGTTAGAAGTTCTAAATCTAGAAGAGGCACTATCATATGCTTTACCACTTCTAAATTATCCCCGATGCTTGCGAATCGAAAACTTGTATAAAAGCTGACCACGAACCATCTAAAGTACATTTTTAGAAAGGCTGTCTCAAAGACGTACTATCTGAAATACATCTTTGGGAAGGCTCTCTCAAAGACGTATCATCTGAAGTATGTCTTTAGGAAGGCTTTCTCGAAGACATAAATAACTATCACTTTGATGGCCAACGGAAATCCACAATTTGCACTACATAATTGGATGAAGATTAAAAAGGAGGTATTGAGCAAATTAATGGAGTATACAAGACGAAATACCAAAGCCACCGGTATATCTGACTTCAATTGTCATAAAGTTGCAATTGCGAAATTGGATAATAAAGACTTTACGTTATTGTTGCCAATTGAAGTCAAAAGGAAAAACATATAATAAGGCCTATTCATGATGATCATAATTTACTTGATTTATTAGCAACATTCTTATATAGTCCGGTTCTTTAAACCAATTCTAATAACTAATTATATTAGTTAATTTAAACTAGTTCTAAATAACCGATCTTATTATATCAAACGTGACGTATGTTAGAAAATCACAGAGCAAATATAGTTACATATAGTGCTGATCATTTTACTAAATGATTTTCATATGATTTTTGACGCCTTTCGAACTTTATTCTTAAGCCAACTGTGTTACATTTATAAATATATCAAGCTTTTGTATCATTCAAAAATGTTCGTTTGCTCTTCAAAAATGATTTTATGAACTTTAGAAGCTAAACGCATCAGCTAGTTTAAGAAGATCTTGATAAAATAGTCACCCATTATATAATAAAATTAACCATTTTTTTTAAAAAAAATTTTTTTTAACTCTTCATTTTTAAAAAAAATTTTATTTAAATAATTGGTTTTTTTTTAAAACTATTGTTACGTAACTTTTTACTATCACAAAGTTCCCACCTCCCCATTACACATGTATTCGATTATAACTTGAAAAATATCAAATTTGGCTATATTTCAGATCAATATTTCATGACTTTGCAGTTATGGAGTGGCTTTTTTAGCTACAAAATTAATTAAAAAAAAATTAGCAATACAATATAAATATATAAATAAAAAATACAAATGGACTGAAGTTCTTAACTTAAACTTAACAATGGTTAACATTAATGATCTTTTCGATAATATTGAGAACGTTACTTCTTTGGAAGATAATGAGCACGCCCTTGATTTTGCTAGACAACTTATATTTGAAAATAACGATATTAGTAGTGATGAGGATTTTTTTGATGAACAAGATAGTATTTCAATTGGAAATTCAAGCACAACCGATACAGAAGCAGATAATGGAATAGAAATAGAAATAGCACAAAATAAAGTTTCAACATTGTCTCCATGTGTAGTTCTTGATGTTATTGATGGAAATCTTCAAAAATGTAATAGCACGAACAATTTAAGAGGGCTTTGGCAATTAATTGGAACATGGCAATTAGATAGTGAGTCTGTAATACAAGCAGGCAAGGAGTTGGATAGATTAGGGGTATGTCAAATGCATTTTATGTTTGATCAAAATCAATTACATTCAGGTGATGCAAAGAAAAATAAAGATATTAACCAAAGTTTAATTTACTGTCGTCGTTGTAAATTTTGTGGTAAAAACTATCATATTTTTAGTAGAGGAAAGTATTGTGAAGAACATTCTTGGAAATTAGTTGAAAAAATTTTTTTTTTATTTATTTTATAATTTATATTAATTTTTTTCTTTGAAATTAAGATTGGATCAAAAAATAAAGATCTTAAGAGTGTGGCAGATTTATACAGCATGTATAGCACAAAAAGGATGTAATGTATTGCAAGAATTTAGTCCAATAGTGGTTAAAGCGAAATCTGATGAAAAGGCACGTTATATATGTTGTCAATGTTACAAAAAACAAGGTGATAATCTCTATATTAGACTGGGAAGAGGAAAAGTAGCTTTAAGTTGTGATCAAACAGATAGGCATTTAGGTGAAATAACATTAGCTTTGGAATTAATGAGTAAATGGATTTTA